GGCGCTGGAATAGGCCCTATGGCTTCTCAAGCCCCTTTTGTTCTTTCGTTCCCGGTACGTTAGCGGTATGATTTATTCATCCCCTGACCCGTCCTCCATCCTGTACGCTCAGGTCCGTTCGGCGGTATGGTCTGGCTGTCCCCTGACTCTCCCTCCCCTCCTGTCCAGGTCCGTTCGGCGGTATGATTCAGCAGACCCTGACCTGCCCCCCTCCCGTCTGTCTATGTAGGTCCGTTCGGCGGAATAGTCTGGCCCTGACTCTCCCTCCCGTCTGTCCAGGTCCGTTCGGCGGTAGGTATGTTTTGGCCTGGTTATATCTCATGGTCTGACTCTCCCTCCCCTCCTGTCCAGGTCCGTTCGGCGGTATGCGTGCGGCGGCGTTCGCGCGCCCCCACCTGAGCGAGCTGGGCCTGGTGAGCATCCCGGCCCAGTTCACCGTGCCCACCGTCACCCAGAGCTACTCGGCCGACGGACAGCCGCAGAACGAGCGCATCGAGAAAAACGCCGCCCGGCTGGTCACCGAGCTCTCCTGGTACGTGGACGCCCTGAAGGCGGCCAGGACCGCCGGCGTGCCCAACTGAGAACGTCACTGGCTTACACGGCCGGCGGGCAGTGGTGGCTGCTGGACCGTGAAAAACAGGAACATAAACAGTATTCTGTCACGGGTGGCCCGCTTTCTGTCCTATTTGAAACTTGTGGTCTTACCGAATGTTTATGGTGCGCGTCATTTTCGGAAGTTTGATAGGAATATTCTTGTAACGTCTTTCATTCATAGTACTTGTTTCACACCTTCACATCATTTCTTGATTTAAGACCAGGATTGCAGAAATACAGGGATGAGCAGGTTAGAAGTGTCAGAAGTGACATGTTTCATAACTTGTCACGTTATTAACACGAATGACTGACATTGATAATTCAGCGCCTTGTCCGGTAGGTGTGCGTTTTTATTTCCTACACAGTCGTGACAAGCGTGAATACCGAATACCAAGATCGACTTTTTAAAGGATGTCACATTTTTCCTTTGTGATATTAAACGGCTATAATACTCAATACAAACGTCGATATAAGTGGGAGTTTAGCTTGATAAAATGTCCCAAAACAACTGTAAATCAAAAACTGGAAATGCTCCTCTGCGCCGTCTCTAGTTTTGTTCTAAGAACGGAGGCACGATGCTGGGTTGAGTCGCTCCGACACGGATGACTGCTATCACCAATGTGGTGCTGGTGGTCACCGCAACTGCGGCTGCACCCCCTCCCCCCCCCCCTCCCGTGGCATATACTGTACCCCAGAGTGGTCGCTGCATTTCCGGAGGCGTTTCCTGTAGAATTTACGGAGGACGGACAATGATAGTTATGTTGTGTGCAATGTGTCGCTTCCTCTGCTGTACGGCCTACCAGTAGCAGGACTTCTTTGTCTGTCTCGCTTTCAGCTCTATCTACCTGATTCAGCCTGATTTGAGTCAAGCTAGAGCCTCAATAATAGACGTCATGGTTGAGACCTTACGGCAAACACCAGAAACTCGAAATGCCGGTCGGTTTTCCGTTTTCAGAACAAAATTCCGTCGTCAGTTGTCACAGGTCAGGGCTGGCCGAGTGTATTATTTCACCAACATCAATAGTCGATAGCGATCACTGCACAAAGACACTTCCAAACAGAGAGACACCACGTTTCGCCCGCCGTCCGCTGTCAGCCGCCGGCCGTCACAGCGCCGCCCGGTGGCGACGGCCTGATACACAGCTTCATCCGCCCGCCGCCAGGGGCGCCCTAGAGCAGGTGCTGGTCGAACAGGTGCTCGGCCAGGCTGTACTCGGTGGTGGTGAACATGGCGGCCAGCTGGTTGGCCTTGCTGGCCAGCTCGTTGACGCGCTCCACTTCGGACTCGATGGCGTCCTGCGACTTGTGCGCCAGCTGAAACACGGCCGACAGCGGGAGACGTGAGGCATCAAAATTGTAAAGCGTCCTCCCCAGCGACGGTCAGTGTCGATCGGGTGTCCGCACTAAGCCCGGCACCAATGTGGCGACCCCGGAGGAGTACAAGGAGGTATCGCTCCCGACGGCACCTACGTACGCCGTAATTTATTATATAGTATCTACAAACTGTCACGTAAAGTGAGGCCACCATCTGGGACAGCGCTGTCCTCGGGTGGCCCGGTATTCCGCCCCGCTGTCGCTCTCCCGTTCCCGTCCCTCCCTGCTCCCCTCGCTTCTCTGTTGGCCCGGAGCTGGCGCGTTATACTCACGTCGGCGTCCACGGCGCAGCCGGAAGCGCTCGGGCTGAGGCAGAGCGCCGCGCTGTGCAGGCCGGCCTGTTCGGCGTACATGTCCTTGGCGTCAGCCAGCGCCAGGCCGAGCGACGACAGCGCCTGGGGCCTCAGCGGCGCTGCAGTGACCTGTGAGGGTCAGGGCGGGTCACTCACGGGTGTCCGAGCTCGCTGCGGCAGTCTCATCTCAGAAATGACAGATGGATGCGTTTCCCAGCACTGCGATCGATGCCTCGCCCGGAAATGTTGTAAAGTCGGCCTCCCGTCGCCGTAATGTCTGCTTACCTGCACGCTCAGGGCCTGCTTGACGTTGCCTCCGCGCTTGATGACATACTTGATCATGTCGATGGCCTGGTCGAAGCGCTCGTCGGAGGCCTCACGGAACAGCTTCTTGAAGCCGAGGCGATGGTTCAGGTCGCTTCCGAAGTGGCTGGACTGGGTGGCAAAGACGACGAAAATTAGCGCCATCAAAGTGAAAAACGCGAGAGCTATTTGTATTTTTCTTCAGTGGAAAATCGTACCTAACATCATGAACCTATCATGTGCAATGTGCATGAACTCGCATGATACACAATAAGAGGTGAGAGAAGCGATAGAAATCGAAACATACAATTACTGAACCCAAAGCTCGTTTCATTTACTAAATAATTACTCCGCCTGTCGTTCACCTCATCAGGCAGAACTAACGACATAAGCCGATCAAACTACTCACAATGGCCAGGTACTTGAGGGAGAGCGACAGTGACTTCCTGAGCACCTTCTTGTAGTTGGGCGCGTGTGCGGCCAGGAAGGTTCCCACGTCACTGTTGCAGTCATCGTGCACGGAGGTGGACAGGTCTGCACGGACACGGGGCACGGTCAGGTCATGACGCTCCCGGCGCACTTTTGGGCACGTGTAAGCGAGGAGGAGAGGAGAGATCCAGGTTATAGACTGACTGGTTACTTACTGCAGACTCAGTCAGTCGGGGGTTAAGTATAACTATGAATAATTCTCAGCTTTGCGTATCAAACTTGTCCGTGTCTCACCCTCGCCGTCCAATGCCCCGCAGCCATCTGACCTAGCATTCCTTCACCATGGGACCCACCTGTGGCGCCTCCGATGGCCTCTTGCACCACCGTGTCCAGGCGGTTCTGGCAGGCCAAAGCGCCTCCGACCAGCAGGGTCAGCAGCAGCACGCGCATCCTGACAGCTGTGGGGTCACACCTGAGGGACAGGGAACCCGGGAGGGATCAGCTCAGCACGCGCATCCTGACAGCTGCGGGGTCGCACCTGAGGGACAGGGAGGGATCAGCTCAGCACGCGCATCCTGACAGCTGTGGGGTCACACCTGAGGGACAGGCAGGGATCCGCGGTCTCAGGCTGAAATAGGGGCTGGGCGTGTCCCCGTGACCGTATTTATATCACCTGCTGGAAACAGTCCCGGGCAACGACTCGGCCGACAGGGAACGGCGTGCGGCCGTACATTCATTGGCTTTGTAGGTAAACCTAATAGGGTTGTGGTAGACACCACTTGCAAGTGATTCAAACTACCCAAAAATTGGTGATTTGTATTCATGCGAAGATATGCCTATACATTATTAGATCAAGCTGCAAGTTACTTCGGCCCATTTGTATAAAGATTGGACAAGTGTGAATTTTTGGACAATGAACACGTTTTAGTGAGTAACACTTATTATCCGTCGATGATACCTCGTAAACCTTTTCAAAGGTTTATCGTTTTTATTTGTAAAGTAAATCGAGTAATCTTTTAACTTACTCATTCTGGACACTGGATATCAGCACACCACAGCCGGCCGACTGTAATAGCCGACCGACCAAACTGCATTGGATATTATAGTACGGGCATAGGCGGCGGAACGGGGAGGGCACCGGGGCACCGTGCTCCCTTTTGTTTTTGGCATTTTAACATTAGCCCTATGGGCGTTGCAGGGAAAGAATGGGACCAAAAGTCGGCAGTGCCCCCCCCCCCCCCGTTAATTGAAGGTGTTCCGCCGCTACTGAGTACGAGTGATACCGACACTTGTTTTTTTTTTTAACGAACAGCTATTGACAACATTCGACTTATAAAAGGAGACGGTCGGTCGCTGTATTTGTAAACTGTGTATTATGCCTATAAATCGATAACATCGCACCGTTTGTAAAAAGTACATTCGAAGGGCCGAAAGAATTCAATTTAACGTAAAGTTACTAAAGATTGCCCTTATGGCGTCCAATACCTACATCCGTCCGTACCGCTATATTTAACTTGGTATTTTGTTCGCATGTAAAAAAAAATCAGACACTACACCAGGAAAATAGTCATCAGAAAACAGTATCGATGTGTGGCGGCTTTGACTGTAAACAAATGAACGGTAAAATCCAGCCATGGTCTTGGCCAACAGACAACCGAGAAATACGAGTAAGTCGCTCATAAGTGGGCTCCTACGCATGGTTTACCAGGAGGGATCGAACGAGAATCACTAAAACAAATCTATCACTGAAACACCTCGACACGAGGGGCGGCCTGTGACCGGACTCGGAGTCGGTGCGGGTGGCGCGGGCCAGTTTCACACTGGGTCCGGCGGGCCGGCCGGCAGTCCGGCCGTTACCTTCTGTATGTCCGGCGGGGGCTGACTGCAGTCCGGGCTCTGCTCTGTGCGGCGGGCGCTGCTCTGCGCGGCGAGAGTCCGCTCTGGGAATGCTCGTCCGACGTACTAACGCGGCTCGGCCGGCTCTATCTGGCGGCGGCCGCCCGGCAACGGCGCGCCATTGGTCCGTCTCCGAGGGCCGCTGTGTTTGCTCCCGGCCCGACGGTCAAGACGGTCAGGGGTCTGACCAGGACGGCCCGCTGTCATCTCGATACGGCTCGAAATTGGAATAGCAAGCTGCAAAATTAGGTCATATATCAATGAATTCAAATTAATGAAGTTGTTTTTAACTGAACTACAAGGCAGATATCCGTAAAATATCGTCGGCCGTGCTGTACGCGCCCCTATTTGATCTTTGGCTGGCGCTGACGCCAGCCACCGGATGTGTCCCGATTGGCTGCGGCCGGAGGGGGCGGCGGGTGCGGGGTGCTCCGACGGTCCGCCGGCCGCCGCCGCGCCACGATAACACAGCTCAGAGAGCGTCCAGTGCGGCGACTCGAGCGCGGCGGCCAGCTATTCTCGCGGGGACGTTCTGCGGCGACCCACCTCCCTCCAGCTCACCATGAAGAGGCTGCTGATTGTGCTGGCATTGACGGCCGCGGCCCAGGCCACCCTGCAGGTCAACTACAACGACCCGCAGGACAAGTGTGAGTTCAACCGCTCGGCCGCCGCCGCGTTTGTTTCTGCCTTTTAATTTAAGTTTGCCAGCCTTTTGATTTAGCTAGGAAACAATCATTTTTGTGCTGCTGCCTGGCTTACATGGATGTTTATTAGTGATAAAGACGACTGACCAGCCCGCCTTTCGTTCATCATGGCGTGACACTGACGGCCTGTCTGCGCCTAGGTGAGGGTCAGCCCTGCGCCAAGAACTTCAACTACGACGAGGGCTGCGCCACGGCCATCCGGAACCAGATCAGCCGCGAGCTGGAGGCCTCCTTCACCTACCTGGCTGCCGTGAGTGCACGGAGCCGGCCCAGAGCGGACCCGGACCTGACCTTCGACCTAACATGTGACCACATTTGACCTTAACCTAGATCGAACTTCTGACCTTACCTGGCATTGACCTGGCTTCTGGCCTGAACACTGACTCGACCTCTAAATTGATCCTCGACAGCGGACAGGAATTTGACATTTTACGTGACCTGACCCTCTGAGAAATTAAACGACGTTAGAAATTAAACGTTCGATCATTGGGTGCAATATGTTACGTGCATGTGCGACTAATTTCTCGCCGTGATTACAGCGGGCTGTGTGTGCTGCTGCAGGGCGCCCCGTGATTACAGCGCTGTGTGTGCTGTTGCAGGGCGCCCACTTTGCGCAGGACAACGTGAACCGGCCGGGCGTGTCCAAGATCTTCTTCGACCACGCCAAGGAGGAGCGCGAGCACGCCATCAAGCTAGCCGACTACCTGTCGATGCGCGGAGACCGCGACACCAGCTACCTGCAGGCCTCCTACGTACGTCACACAAAGCGCGTCCACGTCTGTTTGAATCATGTCACATCATAGGCGCACCATAAAACCAACTGCCACAGCAGCTCAGTTGTGGTGAAGCAGGCATTTCTTAACCAGGGATATGGAAAGTCTGCTCTGGGAGGGAGCTGGTTGGTGTTCCCCGGCCGGGAGCCCTCTGACGTCTACCGCCTGCCGCCTCCGTCCCCAGGCCCCGCTGAAGTACAGCTGGACCAACGTCATGGAGGGCCTGACGGACGCGCTCGCCATCGAGAAGGCCGTCACGCGCCACGTGTCCGACATGATCAACGCCTGCGAGCGCGACTGGCACGTGAGTACAGTACACCGACCAGCCGTCTTTCCTCTGCCCTCATCCTCCACCTGCGGCCGCGACTGGCACGTGAGTACACCCAGTAGATGCCTGTTATCCTTTACTACCCTGATAGGGCATCGGCTTATGACGTGGATGTCTGATGTCCTCTATATTATATGTCACGACATGTTATGTCTACAGGTATCTGGTATCGCGATAATGACAATGTTTACGTACTACAAGTCTCCGAATTTAGGTACACGCCCTCCTCTCACGTCCAAGAAGTAAAGATAGGCTAGCCCGCAGCACACCGGTGTCGTGCGGGACAGCCTAACCGTCAGGTGTACTGACTGTATCGATGGCTAGGGACGGACTACGGAGTAAGGAGTGCTGGGAGGATGTGATTTAGGTGTTTGAAGCTACTGAAAACTACAGTCAGACCAGCAGATGGCGACCGATATAAGACGCTGGATGCGTCTTATCACCTTGGTCCTCGTTTCCATGCATCCTCGCCATTCTCAGGACAAACCCATCTGCATTCCCCTCACGTTGCCTTTTCCGGGCTGGCGGTCAACATCACCAGATAACCAATGTTGAGGGCAGGCCCCCACCAGGGCCACTATCTCTGTGGGGTGACCGTTTGAGCGGCATGGTGGGCTTTCCCATCGGGACATTTCCCACGGGGGCAGTCTCTGCCACTGCGGCGCACCGTCGGTGGTCCGCATAGTCCAACGTCATGCGTTAACGGCCAACACAGAACAACATAAAGCAAAACATACTGACACACCACATCAACCCCTACCACCAGCTGACCGGGCTTGGGCCGCCCGGCGTCCAGGAGCCCTACTGGTCCAGGGGATTGCTAGGCGGGCTACTGGCGGGGTCGGTACTGACTGACCCCAGTTGCGCGATTACTGTCAGTTTTGTTTTCATTTTGGAGAGGCGCTTTAATTTAAGTTTATCTTTTGCGCCGATCCACCACTGAGCTTGTTAGTTCTTCTGTTTCTTGTAGGTATTGCTAGAGTCGAGTAGTAAAACACGGAACAAATATAGCTTGTCTCTAACAAAACAAACCACCGATGCCTTACCACCTCGGTCCGTTCTGGGCTAGCGATCTGTCTCATTAGCGCTCTCGTCTCTGTTCGCAGGCCGCCGACTGGCTGACGGCTGACATGCTGGACGAACAGCACAAGGGCAGTCGCGAGTTCTCCGGACACATCACCAAGCTGGCCAGGATGGTCGCCTCGCAGCCGAACCTGGGCGAGTACCTCTTCGACAAGGAGCTTTAGGCGCGCTGCATGCAGTGGGCGCCGGGCCGGGTTCGACCGCCAGCAGCGGGGGCCGGCCGCGCACGGCTGAAGGACGAAATGGCGGGGCGTTGGAGAGTGTCTTTATGCGACGATACTGACGCAATGTGAAATATACCGTCTGTGGTACCGAGTGATCTGTGTTTTAGTTTTGGACTGAGGCTGGTTGGGTGTTTGTGACACTATGTATGGGCAAGGGTTGTTATCAGTCAAAATGATTATGCTGACCCGGCTGATTATCTATTCTGGATGAACCTGGGTCGTTCATCCATTGGACTCACATTCCAATAAAAACGAATCGAAAATATGGGCAGAAGTCGGATGTTCAACGCACACGTGGTGTAGGAAGTAGGACGTAACGCCGTGGTTTTGGCCACACCTGCCAGTTTTTGTGCGTGTATGGAAAACTGCGGCGTGCAGCGCCGCCGAAACTTGGTATAGTAGGTTAATTTTGCGACCTCTCCATTATACTTCAATCGGAGAAAATTGGAATGTTCTTCTTTTGCCAAAAAAAAAAAAACACCCTCAAACATCGTGACACAGGTAAACATGACACGCTGAAGCTGAAAACTTCACCTGTGACCCCTTTTGTGCCCCTGAGGTCATCTCATCTCAGGACTCAGGTCATGAAACGTCTCCAATAGTTTTTTACCATAACTTTGGATAGAAACATCTTAGGCGCTGAAAATACCATGAATGTGTTCAGCTCAACAATACGAATCGAATGACATGCAACCTTGATCCGTGACCTTGACCTGAGGTCAAATTTTTAAGTTGACCTATTCAGGTCAACTTATAGTTCATTCGACTCGTCTCGACGAGACAAATGCGATGCCGGTAAAATCAGCGTCATACAAGCTTGGATTCAAAAGTTATGATTTAAAAACCTTGAAAAAACGTCAAATTTTGATTTGCCTCTGCCTCAAAAATTGTTTTTGCCCTCTGGAGGCTAAACCGTTGACCTTAGGTGAAATCTGAGAACATTACTCAGAACGGCCTTTGAAAGAGCTATTGAGTCTGTTTTTCTGCAGCGCTGTAGCTCTATTGTTTCCCGACTTATAAGCCGATTTGTGAAAAGTCGTCAAAATCGGGAACAAAAGTTCGTGAAAATTTTACCTTTGGTGATTTGCAGGCTGCAGTTACCTCCGCGATGACCTGATCAAAAAATGGCCTAGATTATTCTGAAAATCATTGTAGCCAGCTAACTATTTCTTTTTACCGCGTCTTTCTAGCTTGCTTGATTTCCGAGATAATCTGGTGTGGCCAAAAAGGCCCCCGCCCCCCCCCCCCCCCCACGTCATGGCAAAGTTGGCTGAGACTTGAGAGGTCCAACTGGGCTCGGGTTAAAAAGTGACTGAAATAATTTCCTCATTATTTTTTGACGCTCTTTCGAACGCCGCCCAGTGGCGTATCCAAGGGGGGATCCTGGGGGTCCTAGGATCCCCCCTGGAGCAAAAAAAAATGTTTTTACTCGAAAAAAAAAATTGAAAACACTGAGGGCCCTTTTCACCACTTACATTTTTTTACATAATGAAAAGTATCAATTACATTTTTAGGGACCCTTTTAGGACTATCAGAGGACCCCTTTAGGCCAACGAGGGACCTTGTAGAGTAAATTAAGGGCCCTTTACAACGAACAGGACCTTCTCAGGCACACAGAGGGCCCTCTCAGACACACAGAGGGCCCTCTCAGGCACTCAGAGGGCCCTCTCAGGCACTCAGAGGGCCCTCTCAGGCTTTCAGAGGGCCCTCTCAGGCACTCAGAGGACCCTCTCAGGTACTCAGAGGGCCCTCTCAGGCACTCAGAGGGCCCTCTCAGGCTCTCAGAGGGCCCTCTCAAGCACTCAGAGGGCCTTCTCAGGCCCGAGGGCCCTCTCAGACATCTCGAAGAGGTCGAAAAGAGCCCTCTGAGCTCAAAGAGGGCCCTCTGAGATAAAAAAGGGCCCTCGGAGGCAACAGAGGGCCCTACAATGCAACAATAGAGCCCCTGTGGTCACCAAAGGGCCCTCTGAGGCGAATAGGGGGTCCTTTTAGGCAAAAAGAGGGCCCTTTGAGGCAAACAGAGGGCCCTCTGAAGGGGCGAATAAAGGGACCCTCTGAGACGAACGGGGGCCAGAGCCCAGAGGTCCCTCTCAGGCACTCAGAGGGCCCTCTCAGACACTCAGGGCCCTCTCAGGCACTCAGAGGGCCCTCTCAAGCACTCAGAGGGCCCTCTCAGGCACTCAGAGGGCCCTCTCAAACACTCAGAGGGCCCTCTCAGGCACTCAGAGGGCCCTCTCAGGCCCCGAGGGCCCTCTCAGACATCTCGAATAGGTCGAAAAGAGCCCTCTGAGGTCAAAGAGGGTCCTCTGAGATAAAAAAGGGCCCTCGGAGGCAACAGAGGGCCCTCCAATGCAACAATAGAGCCCCCTGTGGTCACCAAAGGGCCCTCTGAGGCGAATAGGGGGTCCTTTTAGGCAAACAGAGGGCCCTTTGAGGCAAACAGAGGGCCCTCTGAAGGGGCGAATAAAGGGACCCTCTGAGACGAACGGGGCCCAGAGGGCCCTCTCAGGCACTCAGAGGGCCCTCTCAGACACTCAGAGGGCCCTCTCAGGCACTCAGAGGGCCCTATCAGGCACACAGAGGGCCCTCTCAGGCTCACAGAGGGCCCTCTCAGGCACACATAGGGCCCCCTCAGGCACACAGAGGGCCCTCTCAGGTACACATATGGTCCTCTGAGACACACAGAGGGCCCTCTCAGGTACACAGAGGGCCCTCTCAGGCTCCCAGAGGGCCCTCTCAGGCACACATAGGGCCCCCTCAGGCACACAGAGGGCCCTATCAGGCAAACAGAGTGCCCTCTCAGGCAACTGGGGTCCTCTCACGCACACAGAGGGCCCTTTCAGGCACACAGAGGGCCCTCTAAAACACACGGAGGGCCCTCTCAGGTACACAGAGGGCCCTTTCAGGCACATAGAGGGCCCTCTCAAACACACAGAGGGCCCTCTCAGGCACACAGGAGGCCCTCTCAGGCACACAAAGGCCCTCTGAGACACACAAAGGGCCCTCTCAGACACACAGAGGGCCCTCTCAGGTACACATATGGTCCTCTGAGACACACAGAGGGCCCTCTCAGCCACACAGAGGACCCTCTCAGGTACACATAGGGCCCCCTCAGGCACACAGAGGGTCCTCTCAGGCAAACTACACAGATGGCCCTTTCAGGCACACAGAGGGCCCTCTCAAACACACAGAGGGCCCTCTCAGGTACTCAGGGGGCCCTCCCAGGCACACAAAGGGTCTGCTAAGACCAGCAGAGGGCCTGTTAAGACGAACAGAAGGGCCTCTGAGGTACGAGGGTCAGTTTCAGGCCACAAGGTATCCTATGAGGCCACCAGACGGCCCTCTTAGATCAAAGATGGTCCCTGGAGGTCACCAGAGGGCCCTCTGAGGTGAACAAAGGGCCCTCACAGCCACCTCAAAGAGGGCCCTCTGAGATCGAAGAGATCAAAGAGGTCAAAGAGGGCCCTCTAAGGCGAATGGAGGGCCTTCAAAGGCCACAAAGTGCCCTCTCAGGCCACTGGAGGACCTTCTGAGGTGATATGATGCTATGTCAGACCACCATGAGCCCTATGAGGTCATCAGGCCCTCTGAGATCAAAGAGGGTCCTTGGAAGTCATCGGAGGACCCCTTGAGGCCCCTTGAGGCAAACAAAGGCCAGAGGGCCCCCTTAGACACCACAAAGAAGTAAAAAAAGATCCCTCTGAGTTCAAAGACAGCTCTCTGAGATGTAATAGGGCTATTTGAGGCCTCTGAGGGCCCTCTGATGCCACAGAGAGGCGCCCGCTGATACCAAAATAGGGTCCTCTGAAGTCTGAAGCCACCAGAGGGCCCTCTGAGGCGAATAGCGGGTCCTCACATCCACTTCAAAGAGGGCCCTCTGAAAATCAACTGGCCCTCGGAGACTCAGTGTCCCAAAATTGTATTTTGGCTTGGGTGTCAGAGGGGGAAATAGGTCACCCAAAAGGGGGATAAGAGTGGACAATTGTCAGTCACAGGGCAGCCGGAGCCCTCTGAGAAGGTCACTTGAGCCTTACACCAGAGGGCCCTCTGAGGTGATATGAAGGCTATGTCAGGCCACTATGGGCTCTATGAGGTCAGCAGGCACTCTGAGGAAAAGACTGGCCCTCTGAGGGGAACAGAGGGCCCTTTAGGACAATCAGAGGACTTTTTAGGCCAACTAAAGAGGTCAACAAAGGGCCCTTTGGGACACAAACAGGGCCTCTCAGGCCACCAGGGGCCTCATGTATTAGACAAACATACGGCCATCTGAAGTAAAAGAGGACCTTTGAGGTAAACAAGGGCCCCTGGAGAGAAAACAAAGGGCCCTTTCAGGTACCCAGAAGGTCCATGGAGGCCACTAGAGTGCCCTTTGAGGCCAGTGATGGTCTGCAGAGGCCATCAGAGGGTCCCTCTGAGGGTAACAGAGGGTCCTTAAGACGACCAGAGGCCCCCTTGAAAATGCAGGTGTCACAAGGCCCGGTTTGCATCAAAGGTCAGGTAGCTATGCCCAGTTTTGGCTCTCTGTTGCCGACGTGTTCCGAGCTGTCGCAAAAAAAAACGATGTGGTGGCACCCACCCTCCCACTCGGCCGGCCAGGGTCCTTCTAACCAGGGATGCGGAGCCGTGGAAATTTCAGACGTCTCCGGCTCCAGCTCTGGAGAAAAAATCGGATTCGGCTCCGGCTCCGGCTCCGAGTAAAATGGTCCGGCTCCGGCGGCTCCGGCTCCAATACTCAGTACATCCTCTATACAATTAAATACGGGTGGAAGAGAAAAGATGAAGGATTGGTTCACGTTGCTTCTGTATTTGCATAACAAGGCTATTTTGAATACCACATGTTTTACTGCCTTGTACTGTCAAACCGAACTATGTACGTCAATCATTTTTTCCTCTTCAAAAAAGCAGCCGGAGTCGCCGCCTTTTTGGACGGCTCCGGCTCCGGCTCCGGCTCCGGGCAAAATATGCCGGCTCCGGCGGCTCCGGCTCCAGCTCCGGCTCCACACCCCTGCTTCTAACTCGGCTTCTGAGCCACGTACCAGCACGCCAAAGGCAGCGTTCGAAAGGACGCAAACAATAATGACGAAATTACTCT